TTATAGTAAATTACTAAAATAAAATTAATCTATGAGTCAAAATATTCGATACATTTTGTTGTAGTAATGCTTAGAAGCGCGATATCATGAATAGACGAATTAGTCGACAATGTTGAAAGTAGCAATGTAGCATAATGCCCACGTACGACGTACCAACTACTTAGTATCATTGTTCATTGGTTACAAATAGTAATTATTATTGTACAACCTAAAATCAGATTGTATTAGACTATTTTTAGAAATGCAATATTATATTTTTATTCTTAACATTAAGATAACAATATCAAATTACAACTCCTACTGTGATAATGACAAGAAATTAGTCAGACAATATTAAAATATTAAAAACTTTTACGGTATACCTACGGCATAACAAATATAAAACGATGTTTATTGACATGTATACTGACCTCCTAAGCCAAAAGGCAGTAAGCAACAATGGAGTAGTATTGAGAAAAATGAGTAAAAAAGTAACATTAGTTATAGCTAGTTGTATAATAATAATTATATTGACGATAAAAATAAATCATTATAAATTATATAAATATAACTGATATTGGTTAATAGTTTGTTCGTCGATGTCAGTAGGTGGAAATTATCGGTATTTATAATTGTAGTTAGCTTATTACTCTTCGTAAACATATTTATATTATTTTATATTAATATACATATTTTTTAAGTATTTTATGGACACATCGAGCACCTTGAAACGCGTGAGTACGCTTTGTATTTCACTATACCGTTTTTTATTATTAATCACTAAAAGTGTTATAAATAACGATTCTGTAATTTAAATTAAAATAAAATGTTTATTCAAAAAAATATTTAACATGCGGTTTTTGAACCTTATTTATTTTTTACACGTGTTAAAAAAATTATCTACAGCATAATCCTAGTATCTTATACCTAATCGGCGTTGACATTCTTATGTCAACTGTATTTAATAAAAACAAAACATATACATGTACCGATGTATCTGCATTTAATGTAGATACTCTTCGATTGTTTTTTGTTATTCTTATCAGAAAATAAATCATTCATTAAAAAATGTAAAAATGTAATATGATATTAATATATAAATATATAAATGATTAATTTAACTGTTATTAAAATAATGTACCTACTTAATATAATTGACAAAATTTTAAATCTTGATATCTGCGAACTTACCTAATATATTCTGTTGATTCTTTTTGAATTATATAAGTTAATCAACAGCAAGTATTTCTACCTAAAAGGAAGTGCTGTATATTCGATAAAAGTATCTTAGATACAATATTGATAGAAGATACGCGATAACACCCGTAAGATGAAATTGAATTTCGGGGAGGTTTGGGGGTTCTACAAAATTGTACAAAATAAAGTACATAATACTGTACGGTTTAAAGTTGAAATTTGTGAAAAATACTTGATCCGGGTGCTGGTGTAACGTTACCGCAGCACCCGTAAAATGAAATTGAATTTCAGGGAGGTTCGGGGGTTGTACAAAATTTAATTTTGGTTGTACAAAATTGTACAAAATAAAGTACATAATACTGCTTGATTACAATTCATGTTTTCGAAAGTGCGGGTGCTGGGGTAACGCACCTAGTTTGGTTAGGTTAGTCTTAATATTTAAATTTACATTATTTATAGTGAACGTTTATATAAGAGTTCTGTATTAACGTCAAATCCATTCAGTTATTATTTTTTGAGTTATAATAAAAAAATTCAGTGCAGTCGATTTCGTGAAAAAAACCAATTTATCAAAATATAATTTTCACACTTAAAAAATGTTTTACCCGGCTCCAGTAAATGTCTCTAGTACATTATAAACAATTTTAAAGTTTTAAGTATTGCTACTGCAATGTTTATATACATTTCAAAAATAGGTAGATTTCGTGATTTTTATCAAAATTTTAATTTAAAATGCTTATTTCCAAAAATTGTGATACCGAAAATTTCAAACTTTTTCGGCTAATCAAAAAAATTTTTATTTTCATTTTTGACAAAAAAAAATAACAAAAAAAAACCAAGAAAACTTAAACTATAAATTTCTATAATTAGGCCAAAAAATTGTTTGAGATTTACATTACCTCTAAATAATAGCCATTTAAATATTTGGTAAACATTTTAAATTCTTACGATCAATCCTTTTTTAATTGCAATGAAAGAATCAATTTTGTCGAAAATCGACATTTCGTTTTTTTGGGAAAACTGTTGAGCAACTAAAAAAATTACCCCCTTAATGTACTAATAAGCCAATATTTTTATACAAAAAAAAAAAAAAACTCGCGTGGTAAAATAATACATTCCTCAATTCATTCAGTATCTAAATAATACAAATAAAAACAAAAATCGAAGTTAGTATACACACTTACCGTCTATTTGATACGATTTATTTGCCAATTTATTATTGATAAAGCGTTTTCTACTTTTTTTTTTTTTCTAGATAATCTAGATTTTTTAATTTTAATTTTTCTCTAAATTATTATCTATGATATGTCCCAAGAAACAGAAAAAATTGTTTTCTATTAAAATTGAAAAAAATTTTAATATAACATTTTATTTTTTTACTTGGATTGTCGTTCATGAACGAAATAGGAATAATTTCAGATGAAAGGCAAAATATGAAAAATTATGGCATGTGCATATAAAGCATATATAATATATATATACTTATATAGTCTTATATAGTCTTTTATAATCATATAATCGGTATATTGCGGATTCATCGAAATCATTGAATGCGTTCGCGGTTTGTAATAAGAAAAGGTTTCGTACGAGGCATGCCCATGTACAATACACCACCACTGTGTGGCACGCGTTAACAATTCAGAATGTGTGTTTTATGCCAATTCAACCATTCGATCTAATTATGCGATAATATTTTTGAATATTGTTCTGAATTTGATGTTATATTATTTTTTTTTTTTTTTTGAGATCGATCTATTCACATTTTAAGATAACTGAATAATAAATGTTTGAAAATTTAAAAATATTAAAATTAAGAGACACCCGCATGTGTTGTCTCCGTCTGACATACATGCAACATAGCAAAATTTGCGTTGACTGATTCAAATGTTAGGGATGCTAGCTTTAATATTAATGTAAACTGACCTATAATCAAACTTTAAGGGAAAACATTATTTGTGTTTTGTTGGTCAGTTTTTCCGATATTTTAATTTTTTATTGAGTTATAATGTTTTTTTAATTGTTATATTTTACATACTCATAACACGCTTAAAAATTAAAATATCGGAAAAAACCGACCAACAAAACACAGATAATGTTCTTCCCTTCAAGTTTTATTATAGGTCGGAGTACAATTGGGAAATGTGGACTAATTTATCTTAAGAGACATGATGACGAATTCAAATCAGCTTTCAAAATTGTTATCGCATTACTCGTCGGTATAATTGACAAGAGATTGGTATTTTTTGGTTAAAATAAATCAGTGTATTTATTTAAGTGTAAAAGACATGTATAATTTCATTCAAATATGAAATATTCTGAGAATAGTTTAATATTATTGTATCAATTTGAGTAGATTTTCTATTGACGTTAACATAAAATTCATTATTACCATGGTTACATAATATTAATGAATTATTATTTATCAATTGGGTATTTAATATGGTTATTTTTGATTTGTAAAAATTATTATAATTTCAGCTTGTCCATTTTGCATCTCTAAATAGTATAAAAGTATCATCACACACCTAAAGTACGCCTTTTTTATAAAGGACTTAAACTTGGTGTGTTGATTAATTTATTACGCTATTTGTTTCACAATGGTGCATGTATATTTCAGATAATGCACTGAATAAAGCTCTTTTTGTGAATATTATTTATTTTTTTGAAAATAATTTCAGTAAATTACATTTATTGAATGAATTATTTCATCTGTTTTTTTAATATTAAATTTATTACTAAAGTTTATTTCAAAATATCATAAATTCTTAATACTCATATTGATAAATTGAAATATACATACATTTTTACACTTTATAGCCTGTTTATTTATGGCGTTATTTTGGAATACAGTTTAATATTAATCTTATTATTTATGTTATTTAGAGGATAATCATGTGAAGAAATTAAAAGTTAATCAAGAAAGTAAAGAAAGTAAAGCAACTAAAGGTAAGAATTATTTTTTTAAATTATATTTTTATTTTCTACTAATAAATTATGTTATTCAGATGATTATAGTAGAAAACAAATAAAAAAATCGAATGACCAAAAAGGTATAGTAGGAACTTAGTATTACTAAATTGCATAAATATGCAATATAATATTACCTTAAAAATTGCTAAATAAGCTTTAAAAATATGCAATAAAAACAACAAAATATGTAACAAAAAAAACGGAAATTTATTATTTAATAATTTTGTACGAGCACACGAGACGAATGTGGACTGTTAAAACGAATTCTATACTCGTTCGTTAATAATTGGCTATTAGTAAATTTAGTAGAAATCGATAAAAAAAAAAACTCAACAAAATTAGCAGATAACAAAAATTAGAACCATATAACTAAAACGAAATGATCGTAATATTATATTATACCTACCTGTATATTGTCGCTGTAATTGTACAGCGTTGCATCAGCGTAATCGGTCTATTTACTTAATCTATACATTTATAATTTAAATGAAAATTTAATTTAAAATTTTGAATCTTGAAAATTCAATTGACAAAAATCAAAAATCACGTTTACCAAAATATAATTTCATGAAATGTGCCCGATTTTGATTAAAACACAGGTAAAATGCAAAAAACGTTCAAAAAATTCAAAAAAAGCACTAAAAACTAAAAAATGCAAAATATGAAAAAAAAAAAGCAAAATTAAGTTTTTTATTTGAGTTCTTAGTATCATGAAACACATTTTTAGCTTACTCTGCTATTTTTTAAGCATCTCATAAGAAATATGCAAATGCTATAAAATCCCAACCCTGATTATAATATTTGATATTATTGCGTTTTTACTCGTTAATTATACTATCAATATTTCTAGGGCATGTTGAAAAAGAAAAAGTACATACAAATCAGGAGAAAAAAGGATTAAAAAATATTCATCATAAAAAAGAAGATCTTACTACTAAGGATTGTCAATTAGGTAATTTAATTTCACCGATTTTAAATTAACTAAGTATATTTAATTAGTTTATTATTTATTATTATTTTGAAATATACTTATTTAAATATTTAACTAAAGAAAAAGTCTAAAAAAGTTTTAAGTAAATGGTTTTTTAAAAATGAAAAATATAATATTAAATATTATATTATTTTACTACTTTGGCTGGATCTTGAGATTATGATATTAATTAACTACAGTCAGGGGCGGACTGGGAGGTCAACAAACCCCCCCAACTTACCTATAGCCCCACCTAAAAAAAAAAAATATTTTACCTTAAGTTAATATTGAGGTGGGCGATAGATAAGAGTAGACCTTCTAAGATTTAGTACTAGTTAGGCCATTGTATACCAGCTTCTACGGATACCTACTTTTTCAGTTAGTTTATTAAATATATTATATAATATATACACCTAGGAGTATAGAACCTCTGAAAATCTATTAAATACCTTATTGTAATTATATCAGTGATTAAACTATATACCTAAAATATTAGTTATTAATTACAATTAGAGCAATATAAAAAGCTGGTAAGTCGCTTTTGCTACACAAAAAATACAGTCAGATTTAAATATATATAAATTATTAATTTTTATTAAATTTATATAAAGCAATTTTTTAATTTTTTCAACATTTTTTTCACCAAATCTGATGTACTTCTTACATATTTAAGAACCTCTGAAAAATCTACATTTTCCAAAATATCTCGCTAAATAGACATCAACATAAATATCTCTAAATGATCCTGTTCTAAAGATGATCTCAGTCTATTTTTAATTATTTTTAATTTACTAAATGATCTCTCGCATTTTACTTGAGTGCATGACAGAGTTAAAATGTATTCATACACAGAGTATAAATTATTGAATGTAGAAGATTGCATATTTAAAGAAGTGAGCAATTTATGGACACATATTAAACAATGATCTTCTTTGTGAAGGTTATTTTCTTTTTGTATAACATCCTGAAAAAAATGTTATTTTATAAATGTTATTACATTTTAATATATAAATAGCCAATAGGTATTATTTTATATTCTATATAATAATCATAAATGTATGTACCTACCCTTTGATATTTTTGAAGTTTGTTTACTATAGTTTTGATCATTAATTTCATAGTCACCGTTCATAGTCGTTTTAAAATCCAAATCATCTTCATCAGTTTCAAGTTTCAAGATCATCATAACTATATATTCATCACTATTAATATTAACTTCAAGCTTTTTATAAATGTTTTCTGTTCTTTTATTCAATGAGCCAACAATATTTTCATAAATATTTGAAAATTATTGATGTTTAGATATTACTTTCTGGCGTTCGATACCAACCAAATTAGATAAAGTGTTTATAAACATTTTTCTGGATAGATCTGATTTTTAAAAATTTTTGGAATAAGTTATTGAATTTCTGCTATAATGTGCGTGTTAGTTAAAAAACGATTTGTCAAGCTGATATAATTAGTTGATCAATAACACATTGAAACATTTCTATACGAAATGTATCTAAAAAATTTACATTTATTAATTCATCAGTACAATTTTCATCAAAGTGTTTCTTCTTTTTGCGTATTCTTGGTTGAGGCAGTTCATTTTGTACAATCACAGTTTCTGAAAGCGCGTCATTCATAGGAAAAGAAAATTGTGTATCATTAGAAAACACCAAAGAAAACTTTATTTTTCCAATCATTTCTTTAGAACTTTCCACCATTTCCCAAGCAGCCAGCATATCCAAGTTGCTTGATTTTAAATATTTGATGTTGGTTCAACGATTTTAAATATTTCTAAAAACAAATGAGCCGTTAAAATTATATTGAAATCACAAAGCTTATCTCTTAAAGATGAAGCTTCGGAAGATGTTTTTGGATCAAATGTATTAGAATTAGCAACAAAGTGTAGGTCACAAAGAACGGTAGCATAAAGACAGTTCTCACCACCAAACATCCATGTTATGGCTTTCTTTCTTGACCACCATCTCGTCTCACATATTTTCTGAAGCCGTCATAATCTTTTTACTCCAGTATTTGTTTTAGATTTGTTTAAAATTTCAATCCGTACATTCATTCGTTTATATAAATCGGAAAAAAGTGTGGATAAACGATTGAGAAGTTCAAATAAGTTTTTTGTGAATAAATTATCACATGAATCACAAACGCATAAATTTAAAATATGTGCATGGCACCAAACATACATTTTCTAAATTTTCATTTTTAATATATGCATGAAGGCCTTTAAACTCTCCACGCATATTGACTGGGCCGTTAAATGACTCGCCCACAATATTTTTATAATCAATATTATATTTCAGAAAACATGATTTTATAAGTTTATACATTGCTTTTCCTGATGACTTTTCTACTCGTAAGAGTGCAAATAAACGTTCTTTTATCTCTCCTTTGTATATATTCCGTATACAGATTGCTGCTTGATCTGATGCTCCAATATCCTGATTGCTATCAACTTTCATGCTAAATATCTGGTCTTCCAATTCTTTTCTCATTATGTTCTTAATATACTGTCCAATCGCTATAATAACTTTATTAACTGTTGTTTTAGAGAGTAGAGTCACGATGGAGCCTTTTCTTTTTGTAGATGTGTTATTGTCTGTTTTATTTTTTTATTGCGTTTTATTGCTAAATTTAAGTGATTACTAAAAATTGCATCTTGTTCAGATGCAAAACGAACAAGTTCTTCAAAGTATCCTTTATTTTCATATAAATTTTTATTTATTTATTTATTTATTAATTAACAGGTAGAATCCTTTACAACAATTTTGTACATAATAATTACATCAATAATACAAATCATACACATAAGTATATAAAACAAAAAGTACATATAATAATCATAATAATTTTAAAGAAACAAAGTAAAACAAACAATAGCAAAAGACGCATAAGAAAATTGGTATAATTTATAAATTAACAATAATACAATAATACAGTTAATGTCATTACTATTGATGAATGGTGCTCTCGTTAACCAATCGCATCATACGATCCAAGGGATTATTAAGACCGTAGTTAGTGGTGTGAGCAGAAATAGGGAACATGATGTCTAGTGCTGGGAGAGGGGATTTTAAAATTGACCAATGGCAAAAGAGAGAGAGCATTAACACTACCATCTACCAGTTTACGCAAAAATACTAGGTTGACATTAACTCGTCGATCCGCCAATGATAAAAGGCTAAGTTCCTGCATAACTATAGAATAATCATGAGGGAGTGGTTTATTTTTAATATAAATGCAGCTGAGGATAAAAATCTTCTTTGGACCCGTTCTAATAGGTAGGAATCTGTAACCGTAAAGGGTCCCACAAGACTGAGGCATACTCCAATATGGAACGGACAAGAGAGCAATATACAGTTTTCAATAAAGATGATAGATTGAACTCCTTAGATACACGTATTACGAATCCAAGTATTTTTAATGCTTTACAACATATGTTTTCAGTATGTGTATGGAAGTTGAGATCCGTGTTAAATATGACACCCAAGTCTTTTTTAATATACACAGGAATTAAACTTGTACCATTTATTAAGTATATGTGATTAATTGACGAGCGATGCCTTAGAAATGACATAGAATGGCATTTTGCAACATTAAATTGCAGCCCAATCTTGTTAAACCACGACACCAGGTTATTAAGATCGTTCTGGAGTGCAATACAGTCAGAGAAATTTTCAATTTTCCGATAAAGTTTTATGTCGTCGGCAAACATAAGTAGCTCACAGTTTTTGACTACTGCCTGAATGCCATTTACATATAGAGCAAACAAAATCGGGGATAAATGTCCTCTTTGAGGAACACCAGAAGATACCTTAGAAATGGAAGATTTACAACCAAATACTTTGACCCATTGAACTCTATCAGCCAGATAGGATTTAAACCATGATATAAGTGGTTCACTTATTATGTTATATATATATATTACAATATCATTTATCATGGAATAATTTATAAATAAATTATGGATGAATCCAGTGGCTTAATTGTGGGGGGAAAATGCCCCCTCTGACATTTTTTTGAGAGATGAAAGTATAATTTTGTCCCTCCCCCCAGATAATCCAACAGTACAAATAGCACCTTTTATTAATGAACTCTTATGGATATTATTTAACAATATTGGTACCTAGTACATGCTACCTACAATTTATGTTTGTTTAAACCATAAAATGAGTTAAAAGACTCATGTAAAATCAAACAATTAGATATAGTGTATAAAATACATACAATAAAAATACGTTTTAACTGGTGAGGAGGAGGGATGTCAGGGTTTTGGTAATAATAAATATATTATATATATTATTATATATATTATTAACCTATATATTATATATATGTTATATATATAAGCCCCCCCCCTAGGTTTTTTCTCAGTTACGTCACTGGATGAATCCGTAATCGTGACCACGGTTATCTGTTATCTGTAGTCTGTAAATAACCATGATCGTGATTAAAGAATTATAATACAATATAATAATATACATCATACCTACCGGCTACCATGCATATTATTATTAAAACTTATAAGCTATGGTTTAACTATGAACTTATCGTAATATCGTAATCGTACCAACCAATAGAAGCAGTAGTTTTAAACTGTTTGGTATTTAAAATTTTAAAATACATATATTAGTAACATCGTCAAATGTTCAGTTGCCCCCGGCGGCCCATATGTTGAGCCGGCCCAGTGTGCTACAGCACACTAGCACATCTGGCCAGTCCGCCCCTGACTACAGTAAAACCCCTCTAATCCGTCACCTTCGGGACTGGAGGTATAGTCGGATTATTAAATTATAAAAAAACATTTGAAGATAAAATGTTACCAAATTTATTTATTAAATTATTTTAAATATTATTTTTAATTACATACATATAATTAAATTAAATAAATAATTAAATAATAAAAAAAAAATAAAAAAATAGATAAATAGTAAACGGTCAATTCATTTTATAAATATATCTAGCCACATACTATAAATTGGAAAATCCATATTCATATCGATAATACTATCGTCGGATCAACCGGAGTGGCGGACTAGTCGTGGGCGGATAAGAGGGGTTCTGCTGTACCACACAAAACATTGATTTCTATAAAGTATAAGTTTTTTTCTGTCACTTTGTTTAGTTTCCGTAATTCTATGCAAAAGCGTAATTTAATATTTTAAATTTATCCTTATATATACCTACTAAAGAGAACAAGCCTTTTTTTATGTTCCAGTTTCGTGACTACACTAACATTTTTCTAATTTTTTTTTTTTGATAAAGTTGTTCCAAATATCTGCTCGGATATCTCTACGTCACCCCATTTTTCGTTGTTTTTTTTTTTCTTAAGCGAGGAAGAGCATTATTTATAATTTAATTTAATTTGTCATTTCAGTTAATCGTTTAGGTACTGTGGCCGGAATAATAAACCACAAATTAATATAATATTGTAATCTTAATCATAATTTTAATACTTTACGAGTTGTATGAAAACACCGATCACTTTATATTTATACCATTACTAGCTCAATTATATAAATACATTTTTTTTTCTTTAAAACAATAATGTGTGTTGATTTTTGAATTTCATTTAAAAACTACACACGGGTGAAACCGATTAATTCAATTAGTTTATTATAATAGTATTAACTTAATTTTAATGACTTCGGTTATAATGTTATTATATTATGTAGTATAATTATTTATTAACTGCTAGTAAATACAAGAAAAACGTAACTTTAAAAAAAAATAATATTATTTTGATTTCAGATATTTTATCCAATACTAATTTTATCAAAAAGAAGCATTCAAAAATAACTAATTTATCTTCAACAAATATGGAAGCTGAGTATAAGAAGCTCCATGACCATGAAAATGAGTCTTTAAGTAGTAAGTTTTATTTATTCATATCTATACTTATTTTTTTATATTTTGAATTAATTCATTTAAAACTATTTTTTTTTTTTTTTTAAAGGAGAATACAAACTTAAAAAAGCTAAAGTTCATAGAGAACGCGAAAAAAATAATCTAATAGACATTGATATTTATTCTATCAAAGACAGTGTAATTGGTAAATATCACGCTGGTGAGTTATATTTCAATAACTATTTTATAGAATTAAAATGAGTGGGAGAACAACTTTAATTTACTATTTTATTAATTAAGATTGTAGTGGATACAGTATAACTTTTAGACTTAATACTACTGGTAGTTATATAATTTGTTGAGTTAGACTATCAAATAAATAAAAAAAGTTTAAAGACTATCAAATACACTGCTAAATATTGTAGTAAGGTCCAAAATATAATAAATAAATTATTAATAGTGTCTTAATGCTTTCATAAATCTTAAATTATAGTATAAGTGCAAATATGTTAAATTTATAAATATTACATAGATAAATGTCTATGACTTATTTAATTAATGCGTCTCATTTTTCTTGAACAGTCTCTTCTTGAGTCTTCTATTCTAAACATAATATTAAGAAGTCCAATATCAATTCCTAGACATCCTTAGTATCGAACCTTAGACCTTTTATTTCCCAGTCTTCTATCCCAAATTGATGTATATGTTACGGGTAAAGTTCGAAAATAGGTAATTTACACATTACCCGGATAAAGTACACCTTATTCATATGAATAGTATAATGTGTACATTATCCAGTGTGCATTATCCATGAAGTAAAAAAAGTAAGCTCTGGTATGAAGTTGAAAAAAAACCAAATCATATTAATTCGAAAAAAAAAATTATTAAGTAAATTATGTATAATTAAGTTATTATTTTGAAAATGAAAATAATTTTAAAAATTATATTAAATATAGCTATTTATTGGAATATTTCAGATTTGGGTGATATTTTAAGTTACAAACTTTTCTCCAGATTTACATTTACTCTTACATTTAATTTTTAAACAGTTATTTGTACAAAAACATTTTTTAAAACTTGGACCATCGAAAAAAAATTGTGCATTTGGCTATTTCAAACGGCTATTTTTGTAGCCGATACTTATAAAATATTTATTAATGATTCATTATGGTTTATTTGTTTTTTTTTTTTCACGTTTCTTATTTTAGATAAAACTCGTATGTTATAATATTTTGATTCCGTTAAACTTACCGAATTTTCATTATTTTCCTTAATTAATTTATTAAAACTCGCAGAAAATTTCTCTTTTTGAGAAGAAATTTTTTTTTTTTAAAAAAAATCTAAATTATAAAACATTAATAAACCGAACAAGTGAACTCGAAAACCGAAAGCACCGTACTGAAGTTTAAAATTATTATACAATATCAACGCACACGATTTATCATAATGTACAATTTATATTTTATCGTATTATATTTTATGAAAAAACTTTGTCCATACAAAAGTAGATAATGTACTAATTACCCGGTTAATGTACCTACAAAATAAACGTTTTACAAATATATTTACTTTATCCAATAGACATGGGTATTGTTCACATTGCCCAATTTTCGTACTCCACCCATAACATATATATGTTGTTATGGTAAAATATATGTTTCTTGTTTCTTTATTTACTTCTTCGTCTTGATTTATATTATTTGTCTTCCATCTAGTAGTTGGACTGAGTAAATAGTAAGACCTTTATTTTGTGTACAATATATTACTAATATATCTTTTTTATCTATTATAGTTATATACTATAACCTTTGGTGAGGGGACCCCCCTCCATAAATACACCACTGATATTGGTAATATTGGTATCTACGGGTAAATAGACCTATAATTTCACGAAAACCTTAAATTGATGGATGACTATGTCATGTTAGATGATCTACTGGTGTTGTCTGCAATTATGCACACGAGTTTGGGATATAAAATCATAGACGCCAGGTTTTAAAATGTTTAATGTGTGCCTTTGCCCGACCTTGGTATCATAGGCATAAATGAACAATTTTTGATAAACGGGGTTTAGCTCCTAATTGATAACAATGTCTCCGTAAAATTTAAAAAATGCATGGAATTGTCTTGGGAGCTAGTTACAATTTAATCTTCTAAAATTTTAATTTTGGCTCTCCATATTGCACCTATTGGTGTTATGATTTTACTACTTAACTAAAAGCGTTTACATTTTCTTATGGATTTTATTAGTATATATAAATATTTAATAATACAATATTATAGTATTAACTATTTTGTACACTGAAAAATGCAATTTCATCATTAATTATAAAATATAATATTAATTATTAATCATACAACAAAATAAATGTATACTGAATTGATAGCTTATTTAATAGCTAATTAAATAATAATAAGTAAAACAAAAAAAAATTAATTTGACTACTTACATAAAAAATGTATTTTGACGTATTTTAGTTAAATTTATAAATGAGCTATTTGCACAATACCTATATATATCTTCATTACAATAGACATGCAATAAACAATATTGTTAAGACGATTTTGTATCATTATTGACCTTGAAAATGTTTTTTGACCTTTGTAGTATTGAAAAAGATCATTCCGCAGTACAAGACGATACTGGAACAATCAATATAATTTTTAGAAGTTTATTAAACTCTGTTAACGTAGCTCTAAATGAATTATATGATTTAAATACATCTGTGGAATCATGTGTAATGTTTATACTCATTTTTCTTGATTGAAATCAATTCCATAAAAGGATCTAACATAATATGTTACCAATTATAAATTCTTCAAGTTCGCATAAATGATAAATTATATATTTTTTTGAAATCGGTTATTTAATGATGATAATGTAACATCTAGAAGTTTGTAAAATATAATTTTGTATTTTTCTTTAACTGATGAAAATGTATGCCTTTTTCACTATTACCTTGAAGAAATTTCTTGGCATTTTTTATATTCTCAGTTCGTTTGGCTTTTTCATTTTTAGGTCACTAGAGTTTACTGAAACTTGTTCCCATAAGTCATCAAATCCAGAATCTCATAGGTGTTGAATAGATATGGTAATGTTTTCAATTTTTAATTGTACTTTAAATACACGTTATTAATATCTAATATTCTATGGTGCACAGCCTTCCCCCCCCCCCATAATAATTTCAATGGGTGCCTTAGCCCCCAGACACCTACGTACCTATGGCACCTATGGATATAATATTGGTCCAGAATGTTTAATCATTCATTACCGCATAGTAGCAGGGTGTTAAGTAGTTAGTTTATGGGAATAATTTTCTAGACCATATTGATAATTCTTTTGGTTGAATATTATTTTGTTTAAAAATGTAATAAAATCTTTTTCTTCTTATGCGATGATGCGTATTTAATCATTTTACTACGTTTCTAATCTTCCTTTCGTTACATACATTAATTTCTACCGATTGTATTGAGCTTATAAGGCCGCGCGCACATTGGATACGAATTCGTTTCGTACCAAAAAGTTACGAATACTGGTCGTACGAATTGGGTGCGCACACTGAACTCGTTTTTGTCCGTAAAATAGTCAGTGTTTCGGTGACATCGTATTCGTAACGTCCTGGCACGCAATGGATAATCCATTTCCGACGTACGAACGTTAACGAAATCCGGACAAGTTCGGATTGTTTTCGTACGTCGGAGCTACATGTACGTATACGGTACGAACACCTCGCACCCAGTCTGCGCACTCGCATAGTATTTGGTAGGTCGGGATCGTTCGTGCGTGTAAGTATAAGTTCACACGAATCAAATTCGTACGAAAACGCATTCAATGTTCGCGCAGCCTTAGCATACCTACCTACTTTTTCAAACTCGCTCCTCAAAAGCAAATTTTTTATTAAATAAAAAAAAAAAATTTAAAAATTAAAATTATTTTAAATTTTTATCATTCACAGTAACTACTATGCATCTGCAAACGCAATAACTAAAGCATCATGACTTAGTTTTATTCATATATACTTCATACATTTTTTTCATCGGTATTCACTATTATATAAAATTTCATCAAATTAACTTTAAAACTATTTTACATAAAAAAATCTTTAACTATTTTATATATATAAACATTTGATACCGCTTAATTGTATTACTTTGGTACGGGATATAACTGATAACATAATCCGATTAATAACACTTAACAAAAGTTAAAAAAAATAATAAGCGTATTTATTATTATTATTTAGAGTATGTAGATATAAAAAATTTAAAATTGTTTAAATCGTAATTATATTACGTAATATATAAAAATACATATATACATATTTACTACTACTAACTTGAAAAATATTTTTTATTGATGACTTTTTTTTTGTTTCGTTGAAAGATCATTGATAAAATCTCCACTAAAAACCTCACACTGATAATATTATGAGGCGTATTGATTACAAAAGCCGACGTAATTTACACATATAAGTGTATATCCGGCCCGTACTTACACTTCTTGATTAACAATTAACAATTGATACCTAAGAATAACAATGATTACTTTTTTTTTTTTTTTTAAGAAAAATTTACAATCTATATACAATTTATATAATAAGTAAATATGATGAGATGAATATTACAGGACATGAAAATTTTGAGGGAAGGGAGTGTCCAGTGACACTACTTCCAATTTAAACTTAGTGGGGAGGTAACTTTATAATAATAGCACTAGGCATTATTTAATAAATCACGTGGCCATTTGCGTTTGAGGCGACGAGGGGGGCTATCAGGTATTGTGCAAGAAGAGAGTTTAGATATGAGTGGGTTTGGATGGTTAAAGGTATTTTTATGAAATTTGTTATAATGATAACAGGCAAGAGTGAATATTGATGGTATGTTAAGATCATGATGTAGGGTGCGGTTGCTGACGTACCAGGGAGCATTAGAGAGGACACGCAGAGATATTGATTGGAATGCTTAGAATTTGATTATGTTTGAATTTTTAGTGGTACCCCACAGCTGCATTCCGTAAGTCATTGCTGGACGTAATATTTGTTTATATAATAGTGTTTTGTTATTTAAAGAGATTTTGGATCGAAGAAGTGGTCTTAATTTGTGAAGCCTGAGGTTAAGGGAAGTTCTTTTAGCTTTGACGTGATTAGCCCATGTTAGTCTTTTGTCGAGAAGGAGTCCTAGGTATTTAACGCAATTGACAATGGGAATTGTTTGATTATTTATGTAAACTGGAGGAATTGTTGTAGGCCTGAGGGTAAAAGTGATGTGAGTGGATTTATTTTCATTAACTTTAATTTTCCATAAGCTGAACCAATCTTGTAGTTGGGTTAGGTGATCTTTGAAGTTGTTTATAGTGGTGGCTATTTCTGAGTTGGTTGATATTATGGCTGTGTCATCGACGAAGGTATCTAGAGTAGTGTTGATAGATTGTGGTAGATCTGCTGTATATATATATTATAGAGAGTCGGGGAAAGAATACTGCCTTGAGAGACGCCTGCTTTAATAGGATGTGGGTCAGAAGTTTCGTCTTCACATCTTACTGAAAAAGTACGGTTTGATAGGAAGGATTTGAGTAAGACGAATAACGGAGTGGGTAAAAATAATAATTTGAACAATAGTCCTTCGTGCCAGACCCGATCAAACGCCTGAGCAACATCAAGAAAAACCCCAGAACAAAATTTTTTTTGTTCAAGAGATGAGGCAATAGTGTCGAATAGTCTGTGTAGTTATGTGTAGTTGGTAGAGAGAGGAGTGCTTACTCCTAAAGCCGAATTGAGCGTTTGGAATAATTTGTTTATCGTTAAGTATCGGATAAATTCTTTTTAATATGATTTTTTCTAAAATTTTTGAGAAGGTAGGAAGTAAGCTAATAGGCCTATATGAGGAGAGTTGGTCAGGAGGTTTTCCTGGCTTGTAGATTAGGATGATAACTGTGTGTTTCCAGATGGGAGGGATATAGGATAGACGAAGAATGCTATTGTAAATATAAGTGAGAAGTAAAATTGCTTTCTTATGCAGGTATTTAGCAATAGTATTGGTTATCAGGTCGTGGCCTGGGGATTTATTATTTTTTAAGTTTTTAATGATATTTAGGACTTCAGAAGGGGAGGTATGTTTTGTAGGGAGACCGTTGGGAGAGTGTTTAAGATTGATGCTTCAATATTAGAGTAGTGGCTTCTAGTGAGAAAATTTGGATGTGGTGAGAATCTATTTTCAAGATCTGATGCGAATAAGTTTGCTTTGTCAAGAATTGACGAGGCTAGGGAGTTGTCGAGGTACCGTAGGGGAGGTATTTTACTTTTTTCCTTTAGGATGTTTTTAGTGGCTTTCCAAAGAGAGTTGTCTGTATTAGAGAGAGATTCCAAGTAGTTGTGAAATTTGTCAGAATTGTATTTTCGAAGAATATTTTTTAAGCAGTTGTTGAGAGTGTTGAAATGCTTTTTATCACTCGGCAAGTGTGTTTTTTGCCATATACGGCGGGTTCGACTCTTTTCTGTAATGAGTTGTATTATGTGTGAGGGTAAAACATTGGTTGTGTGAGTGGAGGAAGAGTTGTTTTTAGAAGCATCGAGTGGAATCACAGCTACACCGCTCGAGGATGGTCTAAATGCCCATGCTACCTTCAAACTAACACTCAATGTAACAACTTCGGTTACTCCCGTTTGTAATATATTGAAACAAAGTAATTTTGCGGAAGTTTTAAAAAAATACAAAAATAATAGTGCGGGACGAAATTACAATGGAACATAAAGGTGGTGTTGAGGCTTTAAATAGATATCTAAAGGATATAAGGGGAAATAAAAGGTTAATGGGTGGTGTAACGGTTTTGCGGTCTGGAGACTTTACAAGTAGTACCAAAAAGGACCAGAACCGATGAAGTTAATAAAGTCATGTCTTAAAAGATCTACTTTGTGGCTTTAGATTTATATACTCAAACTGTCGAAAAATATGAGGGTATACTTGGAAGAGGAAAAGTTTTCTAGTAGTTTTGCAGATCTTTTACTTGAAATTGGCAATGGTGATTATCCGTCAGTTAATGAAATCATAACTATCCCAGAAAATTTGTGCAAAGCTATAACTATGGTTCAAGATTTAATTTCAAAAATTTATCCAGATATTGCTCATATTCATGATAAGCCTATGGAATAGTTGTGTGAACGTGCTATACTCACTCCAAAAAATGACTAAGTGGCGGCTATCAATGATACACTGCTGATTTACTTTAAAGGGGAAGAAAAAGTATATACTTCGATAGATACGGCGGTGGTCAACTAGACGATGACACTAATTATCCGGTTGAATTTAAAAATTCATTGAAACCACCGGATATGCCTCATCATAGGCTTATTCTGCGTGTGGAAACACCTATTATGTTGCTGCAAAATTTGAAACCACCTAAACTGTGCAACGAAACCAGGGTTAAAGTCAAAAACTTTACATCGCAATTTAGTAGAAACCACAATTTTAACTGGATATGCAAAAGGGGAAACTGGTTTATACCACGAATCCCTTTAATTCCGAATGATCTTCCGTTCCAATTTAAACGATTCTCAAGTCTCAAGGCCAATCTCTAAAATTTACAGGAATAGATTTACGAGAAAACTTTTTTTCACATGGGCAGTTCAACGTAGCTTGCTCACGCGTAAGCTCACCCAGTAGCTTGGTTATTTTGTCATCTACTAATAGATCAGCTAAGAATATTGTCTATAGAGAAATTTTTTAGATAACATTTTGAAAAACTATTAGTAAAACATTTATTTTAAACCTTCTATGCTAAAACTTTAGAAAATTTAAATCTAGCGAGCCAGAGCATAAAAAAAAAAGGTCATTCAATTATGAATTTTAATTAGCATTTATATATATGGAAATAATAAATTCAACAGACACGATAGCATAATCCGAATGGTACGAAGAAATTGATATAGTTAAATATTTTGGTAACAGCTATGGTTGAAAGCCACATACTTATACATTTATATGACATTTAGACATTTGACGATGTTTAATACTAGATAACAATTATTATATTGCTAAGTTAGAGCATAGACGATAAGCTTTAAAATTGTATGATGTAATTTTAAAATATATTACAGGCCAAATAAAAAAGGCTCACGGGTCGGATGCGTGTGAGCTTTAACTTATAGAATAAGTTATATCACAGTGCTTCCCAAATTTTTTCGACTCACGGCGCCTTTTTTGATCTAAGGTTTTTTCAGGGAGCCCTTCTCCAAGCCATAACATAACTAATCATAAGGAAAATGTTATACCCGATAGTATTTCATGACGGCACGGTGTCCCTGTACAAACATCGCGGTGCACATTTTGGGAACCGATGGGTTATGATAATAATTATTATCTTAAAAACTAAATTAATATGTATAAATAAATATTATTTCAATAATCTTAACTAATTTAAATTTCAATAGATTAAACAAAATTTAATCATGCTAGGTTACATAGATTTTTATACTTAAACCCGGCAATGACGAGTAATTCAGCTAGTGATGGTATAAATTAATATAGTATGTAAATTAATAGTTATACCATTGATTAAATATACATAGATAGCCCAAGCTATAGGAAAAATCGTTAACGCTTATTAAGTGAAAAGGGAGCCAGAATTGTAGTAGTGGGGGGGGGGCATGTCAATAGGTTGCGCTGTTAATAATTTCTTCTGCTATGAAAATGTTTTGTCTTACCAAGACCAATTATCTATCATCTATTTTGTTATTAATGTTATCACTATCAATGCGGAATTGAATATTTAAATTTGCAACAACGGTTTTGAACGATATTGAATTAATTTTTTCGACTTAACTACTTGATATATAAGTTATAAATCATAATAGTTAACTGAAATAAATAAATAATAATACTATATAAATATAATCAATATTATGGTATTATTTAAGTATATAACTTTATAACTATTATAAATGTTATGTTGTATTAAGTAAGACGACGCTAGACACAGACAATTGTTGTTTCCGTCTTACAAGTACACAAAATGGTAAATTTACGTTCAGCAGATTAGGTTTGTTTAGCTTCATTAGTTTAAAAATTAGAATGAATCGACCTATAATGACACTTGATGGTAAGAACATTATCTATGTCTTCTCGTTGATTTTTAACGATATTTTAATTTTTAAGTGAATTATGAGCATTTAATATTTTTCATACTCATAAAACAGTTATTGATATCTTAAAAACAACGAGAGAACACAGATAATGTTCTTATCTAAAAGTTTAATAATAGGTCAATTCACTTTAATATCAAAACTAAAAGCACAATATTGAAACCAGTAAAAAAAAATGTATTATGTCGTACGTGTGTGACATCTTGTTATTCTAAGCAGACGGTTCATTTTCGCTCATAATATAAAATAATATAAAGAATTAATAAATAGTCATATTCAGTAAATAATAATAAAATTCAATATTCATTTATATTCTTGGAATAGGTACTTCTTATTTCGGTTTAACAAGCAATTAAAATCTTTTGAATCACACGGCGTAACCCTCTCTACCCGTATATATTTTCATTGTCAACTTTAGTTCGATAATAATTATTTATTATAATTAGTGGACAATTTATTACTATACCCGCTACCTACTGACATTCTTAAGTTACTAATATTCGTGTTTCCATATTGTCCATTGACTAAATAATTTCTTTTAATGTTGATTATAGATCCTTCATCTAATGATAATCAAAATTTAAAGAAAAGAAAAAATACTGAAGTGATTAATTCTTCATCAAAAAGTGTAATAAGCAAAAAACAAAAATTTAATGACATTCAAGATAATGGCTTTGGTAATAGGTTGATTTACTCGTTTAAATACATACTGATGTTTTCAAGTTTAATTTTTTTTTTCTAGGAAATAATTATACTAAAAAATCAAAACATGAGAAAACCAAATCTAAAGACTTTGATTTTTACCATAATAAAAATGATATTGTTATTGAAAACCACGAATTAGGTAAGTTAACTTTCACAGACCTATATTTTATATTTGAATATATATTTATTGTTATTATAATTATATATATATTATTATAATTATAGATATTATAGAAATATTATCGAATACTCAATTAAAAATATTAAAATATACTATTTATATAATGTATTTCTAATTTCGATTTCAGATTTTCCAAGTAATAATTGTAATGTAAACAAAAAAAATCATTGCAAGATTTCTAATTCATCTTCATCAACAATACAATTAAAAAATAAAATATGTTATAATGTTGAAAATGAAACATTAAATGGTAGGTTTATTTATTTATATCAAAATTATATTTTATAAGTTATATAAATATGATGTATCAATTGTTATTAGTCAATGCTCAAGTTAAAAAAGATAAAGAGCATAAAATACAAGAAAAAAAGAAACCAGTTGATGAGGAAATTTATTCAGTTGAAGAAAATATTGTTCTAAGTAAGTTGGTTTCAATAACTAAATATTTTATTAAGTTTAAAATAACAGCAGTTAAATTAGTAGTTCCTGAATTTTTCTATATTTGTCCTGTAAAGAATATGAGCATTTATGCAATAAAATCTTCTAGAATTGTGTATTCCAAATGTCTTTTACAATGTCTGAGTTTTATGTGATATTTGATGCATTTATATAATTATTATTCTCATGATACAAGTCCTTTGAACCTCCTTTAAATCCGAATGCAATACTATATTTATTAATGCTATAAATATATACAGCTAATAATAGTTTTGTATTAATAATCAGTAATAATAGTTAATATATTTTTTTTTTAATTAATAAAAAAAATTGTTTAAGTAAAGTGAACTAACTGATTTTTATGTTCTGGATTGATTATTATTATTTTAAATAATTCATTTTCATCAGTTATTATATAAAAAAAATGATATATTCAATTACCTCAAAAATTAAGCTATTAACAGATATATACGTTAATAGATAACAGATAATTGTTAGCGATCAATTTACAGTGCATAAATTGATCGCAAGCTATTTTTGATAGTATAACAATTTTTAGTGCCTTAAAGAATTAAATAACCAAATAATTATTAAAAAAATATATATTATAGTAATAAATATTGCAGGACATTTAGCTGCCTAAAAAATATTATATCTGTAGCTGGAAATTATGTGCTATGCCTCTTAAATAGTCTTCAAATGTTCTATTTTCATAATCTAAACAATTTTTTTTTTTAGCACTCCGATTTTTATAAAAAAAATTTTGACGGCGGTTACATCACTGCAACATATTGCTCTATTTTCATTCTATTTACTTACTCCTCTTTTTGCTACTCATTTATTAACTTCAATATGGGTGCGATGAGGAGTTTAACATTGCAGAAAAACAATTGTGCCCTCCATTATACAGAATTATTTGTTCAGGGTAAATCAGTAGACACTAAAGAATAGTTGTTCCATATATTTATTGGAAAATTAGGTTCTCTTCTTTTTTTTATTTCTGTATAAACGACCCGTCCAATTTCCCTCAAAATAATCTATTAATGTCATCAATACCTCTTCATTTTTAATATAAAAATCTATGTCTAAAAGTTTCACAAAAGCATCAATAACTTTATTGGTTGATACATTCGCCAAAGCTGATAAACATTCGAGTATATAATTCAAAATCTGAATTTTCCCTATATTTTTTTTATTTGAAAAAACATCAATTTATAGATCCTTTTGAAATTCATATTTGACAGCATTCATCTTTCCCTTTTCAAAGGCCATCATTATATATATTTTTTTCTTATGATATACAAGCCATTAAGGCCTTTTGCACGCTTCAATCAAATTTCTCTATACATTCCGGTCCATTGCATCTTCCGATCGCTTTGTCTCGTCGGTATCTGAAATATCTTAAGGGGATTCGATCCGTGTAGTTTTTAAGGAGTTGAATATAGGCAATTTGTCACACGCGTGCGTGAACGCCATGAGAGTGTGTGTGAAGTAAATGATCACTAGTGTGTGTAATTACCCCGCTCTATACCCTCTTTCAATATGCCATGCCGGGTCATATTAATCTCGTGTTGCTAATCACCAATGCATCGGCGCGGCAACAGAACCAGTTTTCCAATAATAGTCCGTATTTTACTACTAATACTATTGCCGACGTAATTGACATTTTATCATAAATAAAGTCATCAATAATAAAATTAAAAATTATATTACCATTTACGTTTTAAAATTTAATTAAATGTATATAAGATTATAATTATAAGTTATAAGCCTGTTAGAAGTAGAAGTCCTCGGTCAAGCCACGAATAGATAGATAAAATGAGTATATGTGTATAGCGACATACTACGAAAATAAGCTAATAAAACATTATATTTTATATATATATATATATATATATTAATATCTCATAAAAAGTAGACATATTTTGAATTATACGTTCTATTGCAAATGGGTGATATAAGCTATCAATAAAAATTTCAAATTTTCAGTTTAAGTATACATATGAATTGATCTTATAATTAAATACATTATTGGTTATACATTTTCACCTAGACATAGGAGAAACATAGCTTGAAACATTAATTTGTATTTTATAAAATGTATTTTCTATTTTATCGGGTAGTAAAGTATAAACAGAAAGCAAAGCCTTGACTGGGAGGAGTCCAGGGTTTCCTCCCCCCCAACCGAAATTTTTAAAAGTAGAAACTAGTTAATAAACTCTAAATTGTATTAAATAATAATTGTATAGTTTCGTTAAAACAGTAATTTAAAATAAGATTAAATTCATCATTTTATTTTATTTCAACGTCGTAATAAAGATTAGGATTAATAGATAAGGTTAGCTGGTTAGATACTAGTTACATTAGAAGGTGAATGTCACAGATGATATAAACTTATATATGAAAGTCGATCGCAGGAAATCCAAATTATTTAAGACTAAGAAATAAGAATATAACAATATTGTGTGTATTGTAAAATATTAATTTTACTGCCGTCCTAAATAAATTCAAAAAGATGGAACTATTTTACTAATATAAAATAGTTTACATATATTGCATGTTTGTAGATTATAAATTAATAATTATTTTATAAATTTAATATTAAAAAAATTGTATTTTATATTTTATCTTTTTTTTTTATTTGTGCTTTTAAATAATGTGAATAATTCTATAATATGTATAATATAAATAATCAACTATTATATAAATCGAATATTATATGATGACTTATGTTTTCAATAATGATAATAATAAAATTTTATATTTTTAACGTAAAAATGAAAAGTGTTTAGTATCTATATTTAAAAAAATGTTAGACCCCCTGAATTTTTTTTCCAGTTACAGCCTTGACAGAAGGAATAACGTTCGAATAATAAACAGCGTGAATAGTATAAAGTTGTTGAAATATTTAAAGGCTTCATGAGAATGTTAACTCACAAAACCAATTGTCACAGTTAACCATTAATTCAAGGTTCCGTGTTGTACCGAATAATATAATTCGATTTGTCTCAGATCTGTTATCAAATTGTAAAAATTGCTCACCGTTCGTTATTTTCATGAATCGGTCCGGAATTTCAAAATTAAAATTTTGAGGATTAATTGAAGCTTCTAAATGAGATTGACGAACTCGCTGAACGGTTCTTTTTAGAGTTGGCACATTTGGTAATTGTCCAGTAACTGAAGCAGATACCTTAATATTAAAAATAATATTAATAATAATAACATTTATAGAAATAATATAGTATATACTTGCCCTAGAAACAAGTGTTCTGAATGCGTGGAATTAGATGTACATTTTGCATTTATTTTCATCTCATTTATTACAGTTTTAACTTCTATTTGAGTGAATCAGGGACGTTTTTTTGAAATTTTCTCAATATCGATATCACCAATAACATGAACGTGGCCTCGCCATTTATTTTTAAAACTTAACGCATCTCCATATTTTCTTTTGTACTCCTTTTTTTTTTCGAAATTTTGAAATGGTACATAAAACCTTCATTAACTAACGTATTTGAACCTCTCACTTTTTATATATTTTAAAAACATTTTAAAATTCCTATATTATATAAGTAATTATTAGAAGTAGTACTGTTGTATGGTGTCGTACCACTGACAACTGATATAGTGTATAAAATAAGTACTAGTGTAGGTATTGAATAGTGACTTAATCTTTATTGCCCATATTGTTTTAGATACTAATATTAAGTTTCCGATTATGATATATTTTATTGATTTTATTTGGTTTTTTTCGGTTAATAATTATTTGATTATTGAATTCTATACGACCGCTATCACTTTTAAAAATAAACATTTTAGAATTTAATAAAACTATTTGAGTTATGAGTACATATCGTGTAATGCATGATAAAGAAATGAAGTATTTTTTGATTAGGAGAAAAAATTGAAAATATAGTGAAGTGTCAAATGTTCTAAATTTCTCCAATTAAAAACCTGAATTTGTAATTTTTAAGTTATATTTATAAATTACCGTTCTTGGATGAATATTTCATTTAATCTTAATCCAAAACAAATTAAATATATATTATATTGCTTCAAGTAATACATTTATAAACAGTATATGTAAGTCAAATTACTGTCAAATAATAGTATAAAAAAAATATATTTTTTTTTATTTCCGGCTTTACGATCCATCGAGAATCTTTACCGCCAAAACTACCTCCTCCAATTTCTCTCTATCATACGCTATTACTCGCCAATCCGCCCCATCACTGCCGCATTCCATATCTTATTTATACTATCTATTCATCTTCTTTGTGGTCTTCCCCTTGGTCTCCTCCCCGCTAACGTCCAAGTCATTACTCCTAATATTAGGCATCCGTCTCCTCATCACGAATGTCCGGCCCATTGCATTCTTATATTTTTAATAAATTGCACAATATTTTCCTTTTTGTATAAATGTTCTAATTGGGCATTCGATCTCAGTTCCCAATATTGTGTTTCAATATTAAATACTGGACCATATATTCTTCTTAGAATTTTCCTTTCGAATCTTCTTAGTTTCTCTTCGTCACCTTTGTTTGTGGACCATGTGGCACAAGAATAAGTCAATACTGGTCTTATGCAGCTTATATAAATTTTTTCTTTGGCTTTTTTTGATAGCGTTTTTGATTTAAAGAGGATCTCCATTGCAAAATAAAATCGATTTGCTGCATTCAGTCTCACATTTAATTCATTTATATGCATAATATTTTTGTTGTTAAGAGTTACTCCTAAGTACTTAAATTCTTTAATTTATAAAAAAAAAATCCAGGTTTGGGGGTTTGGCGGCGGGCTAATAACCCATCATTGTATAAATATCTTGTTAAGAAACCAAAACAATAGCCTCGGGACAGAGTTGAGGATAAAAAATATATATTGTATATAAATAGTATATTGTTTAATTCGTAATGTTTTTCAACATTTACTGTATAAGATATATTTGGTCTATTACTCATATAATTACATTAAATAAAATAATAATAATAATAAAATTAAATTTTTTTTTTTTTTATTATAATAATTTAATTATAAAAAAAATTATAAATTTATTTATTTTTACAATGTAGTTTCTAAACCAAATAGTCATCGAACATCAAATGAAAGTTGGTCATGTGGAAGCGCAAGTTCATCAACACATATTTCTAATCGTAGAATGGAATCTGATGATGATAATGATGGTCAAACAACAGATGGTAATTTTATAACAACATGGTTGTTATTCTTTTTATACTATTTATTGTACTAACTACTAATTATTAATTACTAATATGAATTATTTATTCACAGATGATGATCAATATGTTAAAAATAGGAAAGTTACAAAAAAGAAAAGAAAACTGGATGATGAAGACCGCCATATTTTTGAACAATTTGGTTGTGAAAAACCATGTAAGTATACTTATACATATTTCATATTATATTTTTAATTAGTCTTAAAACTATTTTATTTATAATTGAACCTATAATTTTGAGATGCTTGTTATTAATAATAATATTTCTAAATTAAATTAATTATAATATTACTGCTTTCTTAGGCTAATTCATTTTAGATTTTGTGTGAAACAAGAAATGTATTGATCTTACCATGGTATTTCTGATAGAAAATATTTTTCAGTTGTTACTTGCTACTTATAAGCATTTGAAATTTGTGATTTTTTAAAATTTTAGATGCCTTTCTTTTACAAAAATAAGAATATAAATTACCTTATTGAGAAATTTCGTTCATTTTCCATCTTTATCAATTATCTTTGACATAAAATTATCTATTCAATTGCTTTAACTCAGAATTGTTTTTTTTCGAAAGCAATGGTTTCAAGTTTTAAAAATCAGTATAGCAATCCAGTAACCCATCACTGTATTTCATCTTTCCTAGAAGTTTCACTATTTTTTATTATTCCTTTTATATAACAAAATATTTGTATGTGCATAATTATTCTATAAAAATTCAATTAGCTTAGATTTTACTGGTTATTATTATTTTATTAATAACTTTTTAATCTTTTTGAAATTATTTTCTATTACTTAATCATTTCTATGCTCTTGTTTAGTAATTGTTCCCTTATTTCATTAGATTCAAGAGCAGCTAAGGTTAAAGCTACTGAAGCAATATCGTCACAAATGAAAAAACCTCCTACTGGGAAAGAAAAGAAAAATGATGGGAAGCGATCGAAGAATGGCAAAAAAAAAGATGAAGTGAGTTATGAAGTTATTATTAAACTTAAATACATTTAAAAATCACAAATTGTATTTATCTGTTAAGAAATTTATATCGTAATTTAATATGCCATTACCTCCGTCTCTTAATGTAAAGAATACTTGAGTATTTGTTGGCGTTTTTAAAAAATAATTAGAACAGTTTTATTAACTCCCAACAATTTGTTGTCTTTAATTTTTATCCATGTACATAAATTTAAAAAAAAAAAATTTAAAATAGTAATGATTATTACTATATTCAATTTTTTTTTCTTAAAAATGCATGTATAATATTTGTATAATTTTATCCTTTGCTTGTCATATTAAAACTAAGATATAATAACCATTGTTATTATATATATATATTAACCATTGTTCAAATAAAAACTATTTTATTTTAATTCTTAATAGTTTTTTAATAACATTTTACTTCATATTTATTTACAATCTACATCTTATTATTTAATTCATATTTTAATTGATCGTCCATTTGCTTAATGAACAATTTACCACATTTATATAAAATTTCTAATTTTTTTTATTTTATAGTTAGGAAAATTTGTATTTATAATTTGTCTGGGAATATTGTCTATAATTTTAGGATCATACAGCAATAAAATTATTTTTTTCTTTACTGATTATTTCTACAACACTTATTATCCACCTTAGTTATTATTTATTAAAAAATAATTTATTGAAAATCATGTTATAATTAATAATTTTATTTTAAAATCAAGAAAATTAGTAAATTTTGAATTTACGAATTTTGATTGAATTTGTGCCTATCTTTTTTTAACTCGTTTATTGAAATGTATTTGATTTTTCAGGAGGATCCATTATACTTTTCCTCTAATTTGTCAGACTATAACCTGACCTTACCGGTGCATCTTCGACAGATATTGATTGAAGATAAACATTTAATTGAAGACGATCGATTTGTTAGTAAATTATTATAAGCAATTATATTATCATTAGCTGTGAGTAAACACATTTAATTTAATTTTTCTAGATGGTAGTTTTACCTGCAAGATTGACCGTACATATTATTTTCCATGACTATGCATCAAAATATGAAGTGTAAGTATACTAATCATATTCATATTTATTCATCATATTATTTCATTTCGCATCAATAAATGTTTTCAAAAATATTTTATTGTATTTAAGGTGCCAAAACACATTAGAAGAATTGTTAGTGGCGTTTAATCTCTCGCTTAATGTATGGTTGTTACATCATCTAGAAAGACCCAAGTATCTAGAAGTAAGTTTTAAAATTTTATTTTAGTTTTCTTCCTACCTTAATATGAATTGTGTAATTAACTTGATCCTTTAAAGTATTATTTCAATTATAATTCTTAATAAATGTAAGACTATAATTTTAAAATGTAGCAAAATTACAATTACAATTTCAAAAATATGTATTTATTTCTTAAATTGTTTTAACTCAAATCATATATATGTATATATAAATAAATATTAAATTTTAATAATTTAATATATTTCACTCTAAAACTTAAAGATTTTTTATGTACTTTAGATATTAGAAAAATATCCAGGAATATCACCCAGCGAAATTTATGGCTTACCTCATCTTCTCCGATTTATAAGTAAGCATGATATTAATATAAATTATTTTATGTCTTAAGTTTTCTGAGAAAATATATTTTGTTAATACATGTATGATAATATTATAGTAAAATTGCCTAAACTCTTCCGTTTATGGGGAAATATCCAGCACAATTTCATACCAAATGTTATTAAATTCATGCAAGGATTATTAGAGTAAGTAGTGTAAATAAAATCTTATATGATTATTTTTATACAAATAATTAGTGAATATACTTAATTTATATTCTTACTTTTTTGGAGCCGTACTGTCCCTCAAGCAATATGGTGGTAAAACTCAAATAGCAAAAAAAAAAAAAAAAAACAAGTCACTTAAGCGCAGTGTATCCAAGACTTCCATATTATAATATAATAATTATTAATAACAAATTTTAAGTTGTTTCTTTATAATTATCAAGGATATACCATCTCAAATTTTCATAGAACTACAAAATAAATTATTTAAAAAATATAATATAAGTATTTTTAAATAATTTTCCTTCAGTTCAATTGTTCTTATTTATAAATAATTTTTACATTTCTCTAACTGGTTGTATTACAACATCTCACTGGTTTTTTTTTTTTTTTAACTATTAGTTTTTGAAATATTTATAGATTTTTTTTATTTAATTATATATTTTAAACAAAATGTAACTAAAAATCTATAAGTATCTAATATAATTAGTAGGAAGTTTTTTATTCCTACATTGCTCAGATAATTTATAATTTAACTTAAAATATTTAATGGCAACTTACTATTGTTTCAATATTATATATAAATTATATGGTATTGAAATATTCCAATAAAAATGTCTTATACTTGGTGTGTTTAATAATTGTATACATTTTCTTTTTACAGTTATCTCAACAAAGAACGTTTTGTTATGACACAAGCTGACTATGATTGTATTATGCCAGATTATTATAGAATGGCATACTATTCTTAATTATTTTTTATCTATGAAATCATCTTTACTTTGTTATACATCATTAAAATAAATAAATTTTCTATAATCATTTTTTTTTACTAATTTCTTTAAACAATATTTTTATTGTTTTTTAAGCTACAGTTTACCAATTATTTATAATTAAATTCTTCTAAGTATTATTTAATATTTTTTTGTAGTTCACAATTAAAATAATAATTTAATGTAATTTAAGTATATTTTAATTTTCTTTGAACTAAAATTGTTTATAATGTATAATATTATTAATTCATATTGTATCACCTTATTTGCCAGCAAAAAGTAAATCTTTTATTAATATTTATCCAGCAGTTATTATAATTAATTAAATATTCCTTGTTGTATAATTACTCTTAATATGTTCGTTCATTTTAAATAATATATTTTAATTTTAAACGTAGGTTAGATTATTTATTATTATTATTATTATTATGCTTCCTATATTATATCTTCTTAATTATCTATTTATCTATATATATATTAATCTTTAATAATATTATATTTAAATTTTAAACTTGGATTAACTAATATATTTAATATATATATTAAGATAAGTTAATACTTGACACTCAGTTTTAAGACTGATATTTTTTTTTATTACACTTAATAATTGTATTGATTAAGTATAAACAATTTTTTGTCTATAAATGAAACAAATTATAATGTAATAGTAATAAACATTATTTTAGATTAGTAAAACTATAAAATCATAAAATGATTAACTTATAAACCAGTTGGCTCTTAATATCAATTGCATAGAAAAATATCTCTACAGCAATTACTTATATGATTTTCAAATATTGTGTAATCATTTGAAAATAAACTTAACCACACTTTTCAACAAAATGTAAAACCTATCTTTTGTCTTGGCTCAACTCAAGGCCTTCTGATCTCTGGACTTTTATAATTATTATAAACTAATGTAAAACTCTATAGTTAAAAGGATTCATGTTGTGGTCTAGCTGGTTATTAATATTTTAGTATTTATAAAAATAATAAAATTGTGTTGTATTAACAAAATTATTCTTCTTTGTAATCAACCATTAAAGTCATTCATTCAAACATGTATCTTGCCATTTCACTCTATCCCTCGCTATGACATTTCATTTGGCCCTTCGGTCTAATATTTGTACATTCCTCCTGACTTGGTCTTTCCATCTTATTCAGGGTCGTCCCAAGGGTCTCTTTTCTTGGGGAGACCCACATTGAACCATTCGAATTAAAGTTCCTTCTTTTCTCCATGCCTGTCTTGCCCATTAGAATCCTTTTTTTAATTTCTATAATTATATCAGGCATTTCGTACAACTGTTTAAGCTCTTCGTTTTTTCGTATTCTATTTTTAGTTTAACTAAATTATTAAAGTATTAATTATAATTTAATAACAAACATTGTTTTTATTATTAAATAAATGAAACTGCTTTATGACAGCATCTGCGATTTGAGTACATTGTTGATCTTATTTATTCAACAGCATTCAAATATGACTACAAATGAACATTATATTTACGAATAGTGACAATCATTATCATTATAACTTAGGTTTTTTATTTGAAAGCTTGATGATGCCAATGATTTGAAATTTTCTTCTTTTGCTTTCATATGTTACGGACATACATAGATGTAGGTCCTTACTGCTCTTACAATATAGGCGGGACCACATAAATCGTAAATAATAGAAATCGAGTAATGATTATAAGTATATAAAGGAGTCCCGAATAGACCAATATTCAGATGTGGTATATACGAATAATAGCGTGCACCTCCACGTCAAATCATCTTTTAAATTAATTATTTGTACTTTAAAAAAAATTTAAATAAACAGTTAAACTAAAATGAGTATTTTTATTTGGAATATTTTCCTAAATCTTCAACATCATTACGATTGATTGACGGCACGCAACACAATTTGGCGCAGTCAGTAGTTCTTATTTTTTTTTAAAAGAATTTCTAACGAAATTCAATTCACGGAGGAAATCAATTCATTTTGATCATTGTCGAAGTAGGAAGTAGCAATTTCACCTATGCAACTTCAGAAGAAAAGAACCTTGTATGGTAGTCATTAAATCAGAAAACAATATGTTAAAAAAAACGTCCAACGCCGCTTTATTGTAAGCATAGAATTAATTTAATTAAGAATATGACATTTAACGGGGAAATATATTAACAGCGTGTAAGAGGATAATATTTAAAAAATAAATAAATAAATAATAACAAAAATAAATATTAATATAATTTTTTTTTAAAGAAAAATTAAATTAAATATTTTAAAAATAAATCACGAAATAAACACATCTTCCTTGGAAGTAGCTAATGCATTGTAATCTAGTGAAGAGAATTATTGAGAATTTATAAAAAAATTTGAAAATAATTGAGAATTAATAAGTATATGAGAATTATTGAGTTTAAAAAGTTATTGGGAATATATGAGATTAAATGAGATTAAAAAAAATAATGAGATAATATATGAAGAGATAATTGAGTGAATTAAGTTTAAAAGTACTAATAACATATTGGAACGTCACACGCCGCCTTGTGTATAAAAATAATAGATAAATATATATATATAATATATATATATGTATAATATACATAACCCATTATATTGTTTTTTCGGCGACCGGAAATCCAAGTTTAATCAATTTATAATATTAACTTTTTTATTACTGGGTTAGTTCACCTCAGTAACAAGTTATAATTCCCTTTGATTTATACAGTGTGATCACAATAAGTGGAAACACTCAATAACTGCATAGGCTTCATATATTTCATTTCTGCTTTTTTGGCTTACTAATAAACATTATTATACACATTTTTGGATAATTAGACTATTTTTGTCACAATTAATTTCGCGCATGCGCACAAAAACTTTTTTTTTAATGACATGACCTATTTTTGACCACAAATTATTTTTTTCTGTATTTTTAATGAATTTTAGTAGTTGAATTTCTTTTATAAGTTAAAAATTGGCCGAGTTATAGCAACTTGATTTTATGTTATTTTTTTTTTTTTGTTAATTATTAATCATTTCAAATCCACATTAAAGTGCAATATGAACTCACACTAAAAAGCATATAATTCCAAGCTGCTAATTATTAATTATACTGGTTATAATTTAACACTTACATACATTTATTATATATTTTTCTTTTTTTAGTCTGCTGACCTCTCAAATCTCTTATCATCAAAATCTGCAGTAAGTTAAATCATAAACTAAAATATACACTATGGGCAATTCCAATGCCATCGTAATAGTTTATTTATTTCTATTTATTTATGATTTTTTCAGTGTTTTAGTATTTTAAATGGCAATTATTACTATTGAGTTTTGACTTATAAATTCTAATATAATTTTGTTTTCAATCAATATTTTATCAGTTAAGATCATTTAAAATTATTGGAAAGTAATATTAAACTAAACTATCAAATAAAACAAAATTAAAAAAAATAAAAAAATACCTTATAAAATATTGAGTCAAAAAAAATGATTTTCATTTCAGAAAAATATTTTTTTTATTTGTAATCAAATTATTTTTGTTTACAGAATTTATTAGCTCATCTTCAAATTACTAATGAAGGTAGATCTTTACTTGCAGCCTATCAAGAAACTGTACTCCTAGATAGTGTTGGTCGCAAATACCTTTGCAATTTAATTATTAATAACAAATTGAGTATTGATGTTAATATTAGAATTTCTTCATCCACATTACAAGAACTCGCATATGAAATTACAACTGTGTTTATCAAAGAACGAACCCCTACATATTTTATATTCCATATTTGTCTTATGGACCTGGCCTTAAACGAGCAGCGAAAGGAAAACTTCTTGATTGCCTCAATATGAAAAAGGAGAGTTTAGAAAATCAGGAATCATTAGATCATTGAAACAAAGTTCAACACCATCAAGTGGACATTCTTCTCCACTTACTTTACTACCTGAGGCAATTCAATTTACAAATTATCATTCAGATAACGATATTTCATTTGTTGAAGATAGCTTAAATTGGTTCCATAATTCTTGTGATCCTTGGGAATTAGTTAAACAACATTGAATTACAACTACTATTACCCGTTTGAAACAACAATTATCAAAAAATGGGCAGTCCTTTAGTTCATATTTGACTGAATATTCAGCTTTAAAAAAAGCCATGGGGATATTTTTTTGTAAGTTTAAACAGTTTAAACAGAAATGAACAGAATAAAAATGTACTTTTATGGGACACCAATAGGATTAAAATAGGATCTTTCCAAGTGGTAGACATTAAGCAGTGTTTTATATATTTCTTTGGACATCCAATTTAAAACCTGTGACACTATCGGAACGTTCCTGAATCACTCCCATTTCTCTTATAGTGTTAGATTAGGTTAGGTTAGACTGCCTGTGGATTTACCTTTGGATGTCCCTGTGTTATTAGGGCAACTAATTAAATATTTCAATTTGGCGTGGACATACATTTTATACAACATTTGTTACATATAGCATATATTTTGTTATATAGCAATTATATGTGTGGCTAAGGCTTAACAACTAAAAATTATAGGTATTTAATATAATTTATTAATGGGTAATTTTACTAAATTATCTTGTCTCATATTATTTTAAATTACTTACTTATTTGTATAACATCAAACCAAGAAAAACAAAAAAATTATTGTTGTCAGTCAAATCATATTTTTTAGAAAATAAATAGCTGGAAAACAAGAAATTGAGTTGAAACCTACAATTCTATATTCTTATTACTTATTTTAATTATTATAATTTATAATGATAGTGAGATTGAGGGTTGTAGAATCAAAAAGTTTACATTTAAATACACTTTAAGAATGCAGTTGAAAAATTAAAAAGTATAAAAATACATTTTAATGTACATTATTACCCTTATTTATACCTGCATTGATTTATTTGTTATTCTTATTAACTATTCTTATCCATATGAACTTAAAAAATATTAATTTGTGAAAATTATATATATATATATATATATTTATCATGATGATATATTATAATATGATATTATGTATAAATATAGGTTTTAGTTATTATATATTTGTATATAAAAAATATATAAAGTGCATTTGTTTTTGAATTTATAATGG